AAGTAGTTTCGGGTAGTGGTTTCCGGACCGTACAAAAATGGCGTGTTGGAACAAACCTCATATCTGTACGTTCTCGGTTTTCGGCTTTGACATTCGTAACTGGCGCAGTCAGTAGAATTTTTCAAGGTTTTATAGTGTTTGCAAGTAAACACCATTCGTAATTCCTGTGCATCTTTATTTTGAATAGACTGTAAATAAATACATAACATCACTTCGTATTAACAACATAATTTGATTATTTAGAATAAGACTTAATCCTACATTTTTTCGGACTGTTCACAGGTTATTTTATTTATATTATAGTAGAGCACAATTTTTTTAAGGAGGTTCTATAGATATCCAAATAGACAATAGGAAATCAATAAAACACAATGATGTAATAATTTGATGTATAATTTACTTAAATTAAAACTTTTTACAGAGCTATCCAATATCAAATCACCTAAAGAACAAAAATACAGCATTTCTCAAAAATCTCCAAAACAGATTTCCATTTTCTACGTTAGTTTGAGTGGCATCTAATAATGGAACACTCTGTGTTATGAACAAGGTAGTATATAACAAACATAAATTATTATTCTAAGTCTACCTATAAAAAAATAATTTTAGATTGGTATTAATCTTCCTTTAAAGGAGACTGTCTTGTTTTCTAAAGAAAATCTTGGAATTTTACCGAAGGTATCAAAAAATAACCAAATTGCTTCTTCGCTTTGAAGTATATACCGTTTTCAGTTAATTAAAAAAATAAAGAAATGTTACAAATTATGAGGCTTGTTAAATTTTTAATTGCTTAAAATGTGTCAAATGGCACAAAAATGTTCTTTTTATTATTAACGCAAACGTAGCTAACGAAGTACAAAAATTTACTTTCAATGGGCAACTAAAAATATAACATTTGATGAGACTGTGCAGCATTAGTCTTCAAATCAATTAGGTTCTATAAAGATACGCCATAATATCGTAAAAAAGGAAATACTTGTTTCTTTAAACGGTGACAAAATATGGAATATAAGAAATATATAAACAAAAATCTGCTTGTCCACTAGAAGGCCTAAACGAAACAAGTGATATTTCAATCTTACGGTCACGTACGGATGATATCATTGGTAGCATTCACACAAAACAACAATAAGAACATGAAGTTTACGAGATTTTTAAAAGATTTGCCTTACAGCCATCAAATTTCTCATGTTCCATCAGTACGTTAGAGCAGTGTGGCTTGCTGAATTTGTGAAGAATAAAGTATGCTGACCGTTTGCTTATCTGAAGGAAGAGATATCTATGTTGGTAACAAAACAATAGCAAAATTAACGTCATCATCAATTCTTGCACTGCTTTTTCTAAAAATTTAATGGCTTTTCTGCATCTTCATTAAAACCTATTGTTCCAATATTGAAACTGTTCTAACCTGTAGATAATCCGGCATGGACCAAGAATTGAAGAGTGGCGGAGCTAAGTGATCTAAGTGCCAAAACATAAATTTTATTTTATTTTTCAATCAATATGATCTATGTTCTGATGCCAATATTCCCTAATGAGATCTATGTGCCAACTTCGCTCTAGTGGTTGTAAACGAAGCCCCAAAGATGGAGCCGTCTGACATCATGTACTTTTCTAATTGATCTAAGTGCCAGTATATAGGTTGACGTGTTGTCAATAGAATCGATTACTATTGTATATGTATTTGCGTTTTAACGTAAATACAATGGATTCTAGTGCGTTTGGCGACAAAAAGAATACGAAATCAATAGGGGAAAAACAGAGTGAAGCTAGATTGAATGGAAAACCCTATGTTACACAAAAAGGTAAGCTACAAAAACCTGGAAAAGCCGTTCCAAAATATGAGTTTAGTACGAAAGTTTTAACAGATATATCGCTTGAAATTTTAGGCCGTAAGATAGTCTAACTTGTGAATAGCTACCAATGCTATTCGATATTACAACCTAAAACTCTTTTTATTGTTACTTTGGCTTTGTTGATATATTATTATAAAACTTTTCTATTTTGGTCCACATGCAAATGTAAATTTAGCTATAGGGACGTGGTTGATATGAAGATTAAGCTTTTTGACTTGTATAATGGCTTTGTACTCAACGAGCAAGGCAGCTATCTCATGGGACTTTTGCAATTTTTACCAGTTCAACGGCGCCGTCATGGTAGTTATGATGATTCATCACAAAGTAGACGACAGTGTACCGTAGCTTTTGCAGTTCCAGATGGACAAGGTAACGTGAAAAGAGTTTATCAAAAAGTGAAAAAGAATATCTCAGTAGCAGTCCGGTCCTCAATGTTATATTCAACGCTTTTAAAATAAAACATCCTAACTGTACCACAACATACAAATTTTATAGGGCAGCTTTTATGAAGGATTTTCCGAATCTTTCTTTTAGAAGACCTAGAGTTGACACCTGCAAGACTTGTGATTTCCTTTTTTTAAGAAGCAAGGACAAAGACCTTAATGTATCCAGAAAAGCTAAAACTGAGTTGGAATTACATCATACAAAAACGGTAAAGCTCTTCATGTTATTCAAGAAGACAGTACGAGAAGTACTCTTTCAGATAGCAATACCTGTACCCTTACCATTGATCTACAAAAAGTAGTTTCGCTTCCTAAATTGACGCATAATAGTATGTCCTACAGCCGCCAATAGTCATGGTACAATTTTGGAATACACGTACAAGATCGTCAGATGGGATAATGTGCATCTGGCATGAAGAACAGTCGATAAGCCTTGAACACAAGACAGCTTTAAACTTATAAGCGAAAACTATGCATATGGAGCGACAGCTATGCAGGGCAAATTGAAAAACCAAATGTTTATTTTCTTATACATGTTCTTAGTAGCAAATGGACATTTTGATACCATCAATCATCAATTTTCAGTTTCCGGTCATAGCTTTTCACCTTCAAATAGAGATTTTGCTCTTTACGAGAAACATGCAAAACGTTCCAAGCTTCAAACAGTAAACGATATAAGAGCCGTAATTGCCGATTCTAGACCTTCCAGGCCTTACAAAGTGTTAGATATGGAAGAATGTACTTTTTAGATTTCAATAAAATATCAGCAAAATGTATAAATACATCTAAACTTGGCATTACTCAAGGATCGTGTTTACATATAACAAAAGAAGATCCAGGAACAGTATTGTACAAGCAAAGTTTCAGTGACTTGTTGGGATGGGAGAAGTGTCGTGTATTGAAAAAGGTGTGAATGTAAAGTCAACAGAGTTCTTAGCCTTTCCTGGTGTTCAGCAAATAAATGAAAGTAAGAAAAATGACCATCGCGCCATGCTAGAATTCATTAATCAGAAAAATAGAGCAGTTTTCACCTCTATTTTAGGTTTTTAATCATATATTATTTCTGTGGACTTGGATCATTTCCTTTTTTCTTCATTTATTGTGAATTACTAAGTTTCTTCAGTGTATTAACACCAAAAATTTGATATTATGTTATTTCCATACATGTTAATAAAGTGAAATTTCGATAAACAATTATATATTTCTATTATTTTTTGGATGTTCAATTATTTTTTTGATTTCTCGCAAATTTTAATTTTGGCACTTAGATCACTTAGTTCGACCACTCTTCAATTACAAACTCTCCATCTTGTATATAGTTAACTCCTGGTTCATGACCGAACATATATATTTTTTTCATTTATAATTAAGTCATTGTCAAGTAATGTGATTAAGACATTGATATATGATGTAAAGACAAATATTTTACAAGATAAAATGTATTGAAAATATCACAATATAGCATTTATTCAAGAAATAGAACATTTGTTAAAATAGCTTGAAAGATATTTTCTTATGAATAAACCTTCACCCTTTAAAATCAACGCAAATGTTTTCTTTATTGATGATGTTATTTAGAAGTGCTATGTAATCGGTTTTGAATCTATTGTTGTACGCGACCCTGATAAGGAATAAAAACTCAAATCTTTTCCAATATATAAACTTTCCCTGCTGCCATGGTGTATTGACGTTGGGTAGTTATGGATAGGCAAGAGAGAAATTACTAGTACTTCATTTACGTCTCAATATTGTAAGCCTCTATTGAAAATTTTATTTAACTTAACAACTTATTCAAAACTATATATATGCCAGTCGCAGAAAATCAATTACTTAAATAAATAAAAAGAATGCAATAACAATTAATTTAATAATTTATTTAAGGACTAAAAAATTAAAACAGTTTTGAATCTTCTATCTAAAAAAATACAGTTATACTAAATGTCAATTTGATTTTCAACATTGTTTAATTTGATATAGATATAAGACTGTAATTGTACTATGAGATTATTAATATCTCTATCCATTGAACTAATCTAATATATGCTTACAGATCTTTTCCTTTATTCAAAATACATCAAAATATTATTTTTATAGCAGCTAAATACAAATGTTGAAAAGCAGCATGACAAATGGTATGAAGTACATAATTTTATTAACGCACAGTATCAATACATTCAATTCTTGTAAAATTCAAGATTTTGAACAATCTGTAGGTTCTTATTTGAAGGAATAATTACTATTATGTCAATTTAACGGAAATTTATATCGCTGAAATTTAAATTTTATGCATATACATAAAAGAGAACAAAAATGTTTGGACCGTAATTGAAAGAACACACTATTAAAGCACAGGAACAATTTTTCTGATAAAGAAAACTATAATAAACAATAATGAAGGATTCTCATTTTTGGAAAGCCAGCTAATCCAAAAATATTTATCTGTACAGTTTATATACCCTCCTCCTGTTAAAGCTGCATTTGGTAGTTTTACAGTCATTAACTGACAATCACAAGTAACAAAAACGTACTTGAATTAACTTGTTCCATAGCCTAAAGTAAATGTTCCGTCAACTACAGCCCTATCTGTGATACATTAACTAGAAACAAGATACCACTCAACAGAAACAGAATAAAATTCCTTCAAAACACATTTAAACTATGTTGATAATTCACTTGGTTATAATTTCATAAGTGTTCATGTTTAGCGTTTGCCATTGTTGAAATTAATCGTCCTCAAGGGGGTCTTGAATGTTGAGGCAGCTTGTTGCTGAAGCTGATATGCTAGGGGATGTATTTTGAAGCCAAATAACCTAAGAAAACATTGAATGAATATTCACAAATTCATTTCTGGTATGAGGAAGAAGGAACTTTGGTGTTTGTAAGAATAGGTTTGGAACAGGACCTGAAAGGATATTATAAAGTTGTAGAAATACTCAAATAATTCAGTTACTTCCCTTTACCTAAATTCATTTTGATTGAGGAGCAATAAGAGGTACTGAGTTTGTTTTAGACCACCGTAACCTATAATTTTAATTCAACTCATTTGATGCTCTGCATTGAACTCTTATATCAATGTCATTGCATCAATAGTGTATATATAAAGATAGTAGTTAGCTATAAATACAAATGGAATACAGACAAAAAAACAAGATTGGGTCAAATATTGTTAATTTAAAACAGAGGTCAATTTCTTATTATATAAATGTCTTCACTATACTACAAAAACATATTTCATGAAGTCTAGCAGATGTAGATGAAAGTATAAATGGGCAGAAATTGAGTAATAGCAGGTATGTAGTTGACACAGTGATATTATCTGACAGTTAAAAAGTCATAGTTTTTACTGAGCTGATTATACTAATTTTACTGAGCAGCAGCTGAAGTGGAAGAATTCCAATGATTAACAAACAAACTACAGATAACAGTAAAATGATTAACTCGTCGTGACCACGAGATCAATCTGTCACTACCTGTCCTCCACCTTCTAGCTCTCATGTAGAGTGAGTGATACCCTCTAAAGCTACATTTGCTAATCACGAAGACTTCCTTAGAAAATCTCAGAATTGCTGTAATTTCATCTAGTTTATGTAATCCAAAGATTATTGCAGACTGTACTTTGACATCATTTATCTTCTTTGTTGTTCCAGTTCAACTTAGAAGAAGAAGGAGAACAATATGGAGTGACTTTTTGCATAAAAATATAGTCTGCATTGCTCGCCTCAAAACTTCTCAGATAATGTGAAGTAATATAAATGAAAGGAGATAAGTAAACATGAAACGTGAATCAAACTATTACTATAGCAGATATATGATAAGATAAATGATTCGAGAAGGGATTGATGGATATAGTTAATATCCAGATATTAAATTTGAGGGTAATAAAATGGTGAAGTATAAAATTCAAAAGTTTCTGAAACCATTTGCTTGTGGCATGTTTAAGTTAAATATTACGTTTATATGGCATTAAGCCACAGCTGATTGTAATGAAAATTACATTTTTAACTGCCATTTGACGTTTCGATTTCCACTCCGGAAATTTCTCTCAGAATTTTCAACTAAAAGATGGCTGTTTGCTTATAAGATCGAACCCTCAACGATTTTCGGTTATAAATACAACATACCTTACTATTTTTTGAAAATGACTTCTGGAGTGGAAATCAAAACGTCAAACAGCAATTAAAAATGTAATTCTCTATTTCATTACAATTTATAAAATTCAATTTAATAGTTTTGCAATTCTTTAAGCTCCATAATCAATAAATAATTAAATACTTCAATCATTTAATTTTCTTATTAAATCAAAATTTTGGTGAACTTTTTTTGTATTTAGTGTATTTCTAAAACTTTATAAAACAGAGTATAGTGAAGTACTCTAAACCTTCTACATCCACAATAATGTTTTGACGTATCAACTCAAATATAGCATTTCAATATGTATACAATTCTATATGAATGAGCAGTGCACATATTTATAAGAAGGTAAATATTTGTTATTAAGTTTTTTTTTATTTACTTGATTTTTATAAACCCTCTCTTAGTTTTTGTGTTTAAATCTTTTGTTCTGGCATTTGAAAGTTTTCCTATCTATTCAATGTAACGTTTTGGACAATCTCATCACCATGATCATCATTCTGGCTTTACAACCCTGCGTGGGTCCTATCCTCCTCAAGAATTTTTCTCCAGTCGTCCCTATCCTTCGCCTTCCTCTGCCAAGCATTTATTCGCAAATTTATCATGTCTTCATTGATGTTATGAAGGACCTTGTTCTGGGTCTTCCTTTTCTTCTCTGACCAATGGGTCTATCAAGGAGCAGTTTTCTAGCTGGATAATTTTGTTCCATCCACATTACATGTCCTATCCACCTCAGAAGTCCTATCTTAATATGTTTTATGATATCAGGTTCCTGGTATATTCTATAAAGTTCAAAGTTGTATCGTCTTCTCCAAACTTCATTGTCATTAACTGATTCATAGATTCGACTAAGGATTTCATTATTTTTTGTTAGAGTCCAGGTCTCTGAACCATATTATGTTAGGGCTGGGCGTATTATTGTTTTGTAAAGTTTTATTTTTGTATTTTTTTTTATATTAACTGGCCAGTTGGTTGTCAAAACCAGTGCCATTAAAACACACACACACACACACATTATTGTGTTTTTCAATATAATTGTTAATTTATGGAGATTGACCCCAAAATAGCATCTGTTCGCCATGCAAATTCTGCGGTTTATCTATGAGGTAGTATCATTTTCAATTTTAAGGAGCGCTCCCAGGTATTCAAATTCGTTCACTGCTTCGATGACGTCGTTTTCTATTTTTCTATAACAAGTGGTCGTAGTATTTGTGGTTGCGTGCTCATTTTCATATGCTTCGTTTTGTTGGTGTTTATTATTACACCCATTTTTTGCAGTTGATTCTTTTAATGCTACATACTCCTCTCGTACAGCGTTTTCCGCTCTACCAACAATATTAATATTATCAGCACAGACCAGGATTTGTACTGATTTATTATATATTGAACCAGTGGTTGTGATTTGTAACATGCATATTATTTTTCCAGAGCCAGGTTGAACAGTATACAAGAGAGAGTGTGCCTGGCGCAGCCCATTATTTGTTTTAAAAGGTTTAGACGGTTCCCCTTGAATCCATACTCTACATTCAACTTTTTCAAGAGTTATTTCTGTTAAATTTACCAACTGATTTGCTATTCCTAGCTCTTTCATTGTTTTGAACATTTCTCTTCTATTTACAGAGCTTAGGCTGCTTTGTCTGAGTATAAATATGTGATTACTATCAATGCCATATTCCAGTGTTTTTTCCAAAATTTGTTTCAGGGTTTGAGCTCTGAAACCAGCCTGGTATTTTTCTACTATCTGTTCTGCATATGGTGCCATAGTACTGTGGAAAATATTTTGTATGTTGCATTTAGAAGCGTAATTTCTCTGTGGTTCACATCATTGGGGAGGGATTTCTTTGTCCATATTTATTTTATAAGCTGCTGTAATGCCATGATAGTTTCATGGCCACCTTCTTTATATAGTTGATATATCTCCCCATATTTTCGTCTTCCAGGTTTTCTTCTTCTTCCTTCACATTAAGTGCCTGGTTAAAGTTTCCACTCATCTACTCAATACATCTTTCCTTGTTGTTAATAGGTCGCCATTCTGACTTCCGCATTGTTTTGTGGTTGTATTGAATTCTATTCTGTTGATGTTAACTTTCTTTTAGAATGCTCTGAATTCTTTCTCTCTGTTAAGGTTTTCTATATATTTAAGTACCATATTTAGGTGGTTTCGTTTTTTTCTTTTGTTTTCTCTTTTCTTCTATTCTCTTTGTTTGGAAATTCTCTACAGTTTTTCTAGTTCGTCGGGTAAGCATCTTTCTGTAGGCATCATTTTTTTCTTTTGTTGCATTCTTGCATTCATCCTCAAACTAATGATTTTTACAGGCACAAATTTCTGTTAATATTTCATCTTTCGCTGCCTCTTCAATGTCTTCCTTTATTCTGGTCCAGTAGGAGTCTATATCTGTCTGGCCTTCTTGATTTATATTTTGATTCCTTAGCCTGTTGGTGATGTTTTCCGATTATTTCTGCAACTTTCGCATCTCTCAGATTTTACACAATTCATTTTTTTTATCATTTTATTTTCTTTACTGGTGTTTGAAATTCTAGCCCTCAATGTTGAGATCACTAGGCAATGATCTGAGTCTATGTTCGCGCCTCTAGAACTTCTGCAGTATATTACGTCTGTTCCATGCCTTGAATCTATTAAGATGCGATCAATCTGACTTGTTGTTCTTACATCATATGTGTAATGTTCTTGTGTTCAAATTTGGACAATCTGCCGAAGTTAATTTGTAACTATACTTTTACATTTGTTATAACATTTCTTATACTAAGATCACTCATTCCAGTCCCAACTTTCTAGTTAGTACTTAATTTTTTGCTAAGCTGGACAAATGTTGACTTCAATTGGAAGTGGCTGGAACATATTAAATATAAAAAGTAGACAATTAGTCACACGCAGTTTATCAACAAAATAAAATTGCATCAATTAAAACAAAGGTTTGTTTAACTCTCTATTTTTAAAGTTAAGAGTAAAGATTACATAGTTGTTTTCACTTGCAAAACCTTTATGTACAGGATTCTGATGTCATTTTACAATTTCATGTATTTTCAGGTTTCCTACTGTTTTTCTTTCATTCCGTTCTTTATTTTACTTTCATTAAACTGTTCCTAATATTTTATGTTTTACCTGTCCCTTCATCATTCAAGTCTGTGCTTTATCTTTTTAACACTAGTGAGTGTCCTATTGTTATTAAGACACTAAGTGCCAATGGCAACACGTCGTCACTGTTGGTCCCTTTCAGCGGATGGCTGACGCCGTATGTATTCTGATGCTTCTCACACAAGATGGAACGGCATAGCACTCAATTCATAATACTCTCAAGATCGCATTGTTCATTTATTTAAATTTTGTTATGTCTATTTACTGTGAAGTGTAAGGCTATGTGTAACTGATTTTGCTTTCAAGGTCGTATCACTTATATGATTCAGTAATCATTTGATAGTCAATAAAAACAAAGTATACGCACCTAGGAACAAATTGATTTGTAGGACGTTTGGGTCTATATTCAGGATGTACCATAAACAACATATGGGGAAAGCCAGTGCCAAAATAGGCGCCATCTGTATGGTGATGTCTCGATGATTTTGGTGTATATACATCCATACATTTAGGACAGTATGACTTTACCATTGCTTCACCTGGGACATCAGATAAGCCTGAAAATTATTAAATTATTATTTTACAGTATTATCAAACTTTTAATTTTAAAATTTCAATAATAGGATTTATAAGGTCAATATTGTTGTATTTGAAAAAAAAATATGTATTGTTACTAAAGAAAAAATGTATAAAATTAGAAATAGTAAAAGGAACGGAATAAATTAAATACTGTCAAAGCAAGGTTTTAATGAAATTACACACACAGTTCACACATAAAAAGTATCATAACGTAAAGAATCTACATACAATTTTAAATAAGAAACTTTTTATCTAGCCAACTTGCATTATTTTTCGTCTAAAATAACGGGTGTTTTTTTAGAGGTATAGAAATATAAGTTAGCGACACTTTTTTAACTAGCGGCCATTTTGACAGCTGTCAAGTGATTTATGTTTAGTTTAGTTTGGCATTTAATCATAAATAGACTGATACCTGAACAACGCTTCCAAATTGTGCAAATTTCTTTTGAAAATCATGGCTCTGTTCAAAATACATATCGAGCACTACATCCATTTTATGGTCAACATAATCGTCCATCAGAGCAATAATACAATTAACCATGGAACGTTTTCGCACCATGTTTATTCTAAATGATAATACGCATCCACAGAGACATAGTACAGTGCATACAGAAGAAGTTGTTGTTTACGAAGAGCGTAGCATAGAGGAAGACCCGAATCAGTCTATCCGCCATCGTGCACAGCAGTTAGATATGCGTCCATCCACTTTATGGATGGACTTCATATATAAAGTGGAGTCCATCTCCAACTCGTGCAAGAATTAAAGCTACACTATCACCTAACTAGGCGTAGATTCCGTGAATGGACCCAAAACAAGATTGCCGTTGATCCTGATTTTCATAAGCGAATTTTGTTTAGTGATGAAGTTCACTTTTGGTTGAATGGCTATGTCATATGCCATATTTGGAGTGAAGATAATCCTCAATTGTATGTTGACACACCATTACATTCAGAAAACTTACTGTATGGTGTGCTTATGGGCTGGTGGACTCATTGATCCGCACTTCTTCAAAAACAATGCTGGTGAGAACGTTACAGTCAATGGTGACCAATATAGAGCCATGATTACTGAATTTTTTATTCCTCATTTGAAGAACCATGATATGCAGAAGCTGTGATTTCAACTTCTTCTTCAACTTCCACTCCTATCGGAGATTGAAAATCATTCTGGCAATTATAATTTTGTTGGTTACGCGCCTGAATAGTTCAATTGAACTGCATCCAAACCCTTCACGGAGATTGCGTAGCCACGAGATTTTACGTCTTCCTAGGCTTCTTCTGCCTTTGATTTTATCCTGCAGTATATTCCTTAGTAGTTCGTATTTTTCACCTCTCATGATGTGCCCCAAGTATTCCAATTTCCTGATTTTTATGGAATTTAAAACTTTGCATTGTTTTCCTAGTTGTTCGAGAACTTGTTCGTTTGTTTTGCGATCCATCAATGATATTTTCAAAATACGTCGGTAACACCACATTTCGAATGCTTCTAGGTTTTTAATGTTATATTTTTTAATTGTCCAAGTTTCAACCCCATACAAAAGGGTAGAGAAAATATAACATCCAAGCACTCTTATCCGGAGCGATATATTGATATCGCGATTACAAAGTTTTCTCATTCTATTAAAAGTTGACCGTCCAATTTCAATGCGGCACCTTATTTCTTTTGTCTGATCAGTATCTTCTGTGATCCATGCTCCAAGGTATTTGTACGAAGATATTTGTTCAATTTCTGTATTATCTACTACTAGTTTAACTTTGATGTTAAGTACTTTTGTAAATACCATGAACTTGGCTTTCTTCAAATTTATTTTTAGTACATAATCGTTGCAATTATATATTTAGTTGTTCAGCAGGGTGTTGCAATGCTTCTAGTGTTCCTGCCAGAAGGACGGCGTCGTCAGCATATATTATGTTATTAAGTGGCTCACCGTTTATCATAAGGCCCTCATTGATCTCGGCAAGCGCCGAGATGGCGCCGAATTCTGAGATGGCTTCACTGCATCATTTTCGGCACTTCATCCTCAGTCAGTTCATTTTCAACTTTCATTTTTGCTGTTTGGTTCCATATGAATTCCATATATGGTTTCATAGAAGTTACATATGATTCTAATGTCTCTACTGTCTATGTTTTTATCTAATAAAATTTCTTTAGGCCGAGTATGCTGCACTCTGTCAAATGCCTTCTCAAAATCAATGAAACAGGCATATACTTCCTGATTCATATCTAAGCATCTCTGCGAAAGAACATTTACTGAAAACAGTGCATCTCGTGTTTCCAGTTCTTTCCTAAATCCCATTTGTGTATTACTTATGCCTTCATCTAATTTCTTATGTATTCTATTGTGAATTACTTTTAAAAACAATTTCAAGACATGACTCATTAAGGCTATGGTGCGATGTTCATTGCACTCCTTTGCATTGGTTTTTTTGGGAAGCAGTATGAATGTTGATTGAAGCCATTCTTTAGGTATTATACCTGTTCTATATATGGTATTGAATAGATCAAAAATAAGATCAACAGATTCAGTATTCACAATTTTGAGTAATTCCATAGGAACTTCATCAGGCCTGGGAGATTTACCACATTTAGCTTGTTTCATTGCATATTCAGTTTCTTCTCGTATGTCAGGTCCAGTATCATCTTTAAATTCTTTTGGTGCTTCTGTTCTCTCTTTGTCTTCAAAAAGTTGTGCTATATATTGTGTCCATCTGTGCATTTTTTGGTTTATATCTGTTATAAGTGCACCACTTTCATCTCTTAGTTGCCTAGTTTGAAGTGTCTTTCTCATTCCTGTTAATTCTCTAATTCTTTTATGCATGTTAAAAAAGTCATATTTTTTCTCAATTTCTTCTAGTTCTTGGCACTGCTCATGTAACATTCTCTCCTTAGCTTCTTTTATTCTCTTTTTAATTAATCGATCAGTTTCATTATATTTAATTTAATTTTTTGTTTTGAATGATTTTCTTTCATTCATTAATAGTAGTATTTCTTCAGTCATCCAGTCTTTATGTTTTCCATTCTTTGATTTTAAGTTTTCATTTGCTGTTTTAATTATTGCTACTTTTATATTTTCCCATTTCTGATCAATGTTATAGCTACTTTTACCCAGTTCCTGGGCATTAGGTAGATTTTCAGTAAGAGTTTATACAATTTGTTCCTTTGTTTGTGGTTCCCTTAATCTCTTAATATCAATTGTGTGGGTTTTTAACCAGTTTCAATTTGGTTCGTAATGTGACTACTATGGGGTTATGGACTGAACCGATGCCTGCTCCAGGGTAAGTTTTGGCAGACGGTATAGAATTACGAAATCTTTGTCTAATGAGGACAAAGTCAATTTGATTTCGGATTATTCTATTCGTTGTATCACCGGGAGATTTCCATGTATACAATCTGCTTTTTGGCAGCTTAAAAAGTGTATTAGCTATTACAAATTCTTCCGTCTGGCAAAATTTCAACAAGACGACGCAATATGTCACACAGCTTCTGCGATAATTGAAAGAAACCTTTGGTAATCACATAGTTTCACGTTTCGGACCTGTGAATTGGCCTCCAAGATGGTGCGATTTAACACCGCCAGACTATTTTCTGTGGAGATATGTGAAGTCGCTCGTCTACGCCAATAAGCCTGAAACGATTGACCACTTGGAGAATAACATTCCCGCGTTATTGCCGATATACGGTCATAAATATTGGAAAAAGTCATTAAAAATTGGACCTCTAGATTAGACTACGTCAGAGCTAGCCGTGGCGATCACATGGCACAAATCATATTTAAATTTGAATGCCAAAATATTATCTCTTAAATGTCTTTGTTTATACCTCAAAAAAAAAAAAAACACCCATTACAACTAAATAATTTTCTCGAACTTGAAAGGTTCATTCTTTAAAAAGTTAAAAACATGCACTGTCTCTAGAAGTTAAAGAAAATATATTTATTAAAAAGAACAATATATTTATACCGAGGTAAAATGTTGGGTGAGTCATAACTATTGGGACAGAGACTAGGGTCGGGGCTATTTACACCAAAATATTGCTAATGGACCAAATATGGGTCAACAAAATGTTGCTGTGAGAACTTATACAGTAAGTTACATTTTCATATTTTTTTGGCTAATAATTTCACTGTATATTAATTCATAAATTGTTATAAAAATCAAGTAACTTTTGAAGCAGTTACTGTTGAAATGAGTGCAGAAAAGCAAATAACCCTCTCCAAAGGTATACTTATTGTTACGATAATAAATATTATGGCGTATATTATGACTAATTCTTTTCTATTTCTAGTAATTTCGGCGCTCACACCTGTTTACCTGCCGGCAGAAATTACTAGACCCTTCGAGTTCGAGACCAGTCCATGAGTCACCTAATGGATGGAAGGTCATCGATGCATCGCCAGACCCTTCTAGATAACGGCATTTTATATATAATAACGGGGATTTTTATTGAAGAGTTAGTCAAAAAGAAGTCCGCGCTCGTGGTTTAAAATTGTATTGCACGTAGATAAATTATATATTTATTAAGTGTAAAATAAATTAGTAGTAATAAAAACTTTGATAAATTTGTGAGTGTTATAAATATTGAATTTTTAGTAAATTAAAATAAGAACAATAAATTAGAATTAATAAAGACTTTACATTATTATAAAAAACTACTTTCGTCTTTAGAACGAGTTAAAGTTAAAGTATTCAGGAAAAACTAATACATCTTATACCGGGTAAAGCTCCTTTCTTTGATCCGTCATTTTAAAACAAGGGCATTCAGCAACAACGACAATTTATAAAGAGTTCAGAATCAAATTCAGGATGAACTAGTTCATCTTATAGAATATCAATATATTAAAAATAAAACAGTTAATGAAACAAATGAAAATATTAAGAAGGACCTATTGAAAAATACAGAAAATTATGATATGATTTGGCAGGTTTTGGATACATGTCTAAAAAACTCTGCATGTGACAAGTACAACAGCAGTCGCCA